AAGAGAAAAGAGAAAAAGAGAAAAAGAGAAAAAGAGAAAGAAGGGCCCGATGGAAATACATGTTGAGCTGATTCGAGAAACCTCACAGGCTCCTTCAAAAGTCACAAAGTCATCAGGGCTGGGCGCTGGCCCATGCCGTCTTTGAGCGACTGCATACTTTGCTGGACGATTGCGAGCACCTCCTGTACCCAGTGTTGAACCTACTCATGATCATTCTGGCCCTCCCGTCGGGGGTGGATGCCGCAACTGCAGCGGCAACAGCGGACATTCACCGCAAATTATGGGACTACCTCTCGTCGTATGCGCGCATCCGCTTGGCACCAGATCACATCGTCCATCATGTGCTTAGGCAGCTGAGTGAGCTGTTCTCTCAGCAACAGTGCTCTGGCAATAATATAGGAGGTGGTGATGGCGACGATAGATACGACCTTTTGTACAGCGTTGTGTCGGACATCGTAAATATGCTTGGAAGCAGGAAGGATAAGAATCCTTCTGGCAACCAGACAATGTACTTTGATCTCGTGAGTTTATGGTACGGCGAAACGCTACGGTATGTACATTGGTGCAGAAGACATGATCCTTGAATTCCCCACGGAAAGAATGAACAAAAGGGACTGACATACTTTTTGACCTGTTACTCAGAAGCCATCGAGGTCATCGACAGCACGGGTATCACCCGCGACTCCATCTGGCCGAGGACGAGATGTTCGCAATCCTCAATTCCGGCAAAGCGGCCGGCGCCAGCGCCGCGTCATCATCGTCGTCATCACCACAGTGGTCCGGGGCCCGGGACAATGTGGACCCATTGCTAGATCCGAACAGCATGGAAGATGTCGACTTTGACCTGGACGTCGCCGCCATCAATTCGTACCTCCTCCTGGATCTCGGCTGGCAGACGGCGTGGCACGACCGTTCCATCCCCGACGCCTGCGCCGCCCTGCTCCAGGGCAAGGAGTACACTGGCGCGCCACCCGACGAGACCGAGGTCAACTGCCTAACGGCCATGGCACTGTACGAGCGGGCGCAATGCACTGCCACCGGCAATCTGTTTCCGTGCCCACCCTCTACGGCGACCGTCCCGTTGACACCCGACGGCGCTCGCGAGACAGAGCAGCGGCAGCGGCGTCTGGTCCGCGCCCAATGGCTCCTGTCCGAAGCCGTCTCGCTCGACTGGGACCTTTCGGGCGCCAGCATCTACAATTTTGAGGGCCTGTTGCTGCTCCAGGAATTGTGCGCCGAGATTGGGGACTGGAATGGTCTCGAGGCCGTCCGGGCCCGGAGCCGCGAGTGCCTCGACATACTGTTTGGTGAATGGGGGGTGTGAGGTGAAGCAAGGTTTCAATTTTCTCTTTTACTAGTGTGTCTCGAATGGTTTCTTCCCATTTTTTGACACATGGAATGTGCTTTATTTTCGGGTTGCTGGTGTTGGGAATTGCATTCTATTTGGTCCCCAAAGTGATAATGGGGCAAGACTTGACGAATTGATACGAAGCGGAATATTTAGAGGTGAACACTACAGAGGACGATGAACGAATGAGTTTATATCTAGGGGTAGGCGTTGTGAGCAAAGATCAAGTATTCAAGGACTCTAAGGGTATATTATAGCCGTCCATCATAATCATATGGAAACTTCTCTTGTCGAAACATGGCTTGCTGAAATTTGTCAAGTCTTTACTCAGTCTCATACTTCTTTCGTCGTCACAATCAAATTTTTCCTTTCAAGCAAAGAAAAAAGAAAAAAGAACACACACACACACACACACACACACACACACAATCACAAACCAAAATTAATACACATTTTTCTTTTCCCTTCATCTTTCATTATTGTTGCAGCACAACTTTGATCTTTTTTTTTTCCACTATAGATTGAGCAAGTCGGAAGCCCACGTAGTGTATCTACCGCGTTCTGTTTCATGCCATGAAATGGCCTATATATGGCCCAGATTGACTTCCGAACACCTGCAACTTGCACGCTTCAAAGAACATGGCGAAATGACAAATAAAATAAATCACAGAGCCCTGGAATACGACAGGTTCCAGGTTGGATCGCTGAACGCCCCACCAAAAAAAAAAAAAAAAAAAAAAGAAAAACAATATGTTCACGTCGGAACAAGTCAGCTTGACACGACGATGGCTTCAGCATCCGTGTTGCTCCCCCATGCGAGGCCTTCGTGGCCGGATATCTTGCGAGAAAATGCAAAAGGAGAGTCGTGAAATCGTGCCGTTTTATACATCTATAGTTGCGCCCATGTTTTTCGAATTCCCCGTCTTTGTATGCCTTATTAATCAATGGTCATCCTGGTGGGAAGGGCTGACTGCTTCACGTCGTTCATGGAATAGGATACTTGATCCTTGTCCATGTCGCGTCGGGGGCTGCTCAGGAGATGCTGCTTCAAGCCAGCGCCGAAATTCATTGTGCAAACCATGCAGTTGACAATGGTGATGACGATCAATATGATCGTAATCACAGCAAAGGCAGTCATTGACTTCTTGACTGGCGCATAGTACGGGCCCTTGACTGGATCGTAAATTCGGGACAGCTTGAAGATGAAGTAGGCGAGAGCACCAAGGTAGAGAACCATGATGCAGACCATGCCCCATTTCCACTCTCTTCGGGTAAACCATGCTGCGCTAAGTAGAATGGCGATGGTGACTGGAATGGCAGCACATGTCAGGCCAAACTCAGCTCTAGTCGATCCACCAGTCGATCCCTTAGATCCGTTGGCGACGACGACCAGGAACTGAATGGTGAAACCAATGAAGAAGAAGAAATCGAACTTGAGCAGAGCAATATAGATCTATAAGGTTTGTAAGTAATTGTTGCCTTTACGTGGTACATGTTGGAAGATCCGACATACCTGATAGTGGAGGAATCGCTTCTTCATGCGATAGTCGGCTCCAATATGCTTGAGAATGTCCCAGGCAAACTCCTGGTACAACTTCCAAGCGACGAAACTGTAACAAATAGTTCCGACGCCGATGACACAAGGAATGGCAATAAGAATACCCTGCACGTCGTTCCAAACAGTCAAGTCGGCCACAGCGTTCTGGGTGATCAAGATATCAACGGCCTCGCGGATTTGATCGACCTGGATGGACGTATAAACCAACAAAGCAAGGTTTGCGATACAAATACCAATGACTTGAATTGTGTTCTTGACCCGAAGCGCGTCCCACACGAGGACGAGCTCGTACAGGAATCCAAAGATGAAAAGTGCAAGGAAAGTCGGGATCGTCTTGAGCTGTGACTGGACTTTCTCATCGGTGTTGTACGGTGACTGTTCCGTGTCTTTCAAACTGTCGTTGAATTTGGCAAAGACATAACTGGCATTCGGTCAGTCACTAGTGTTCTTCCACTCGAGGCTTGAGCTCGAATTCATGGAAATTTCCAGAAAATCATACCCTTCAAAAGCTATGCACAAAATAAGTTGGACGACGGCGACGATGAAGTATGCACGCGACCACTTCTTCTTGAACAGCTCGGCCGTACTCCTGGCCAAGCTGGCCGCTCCTTGCTTGGAAGACATGTGCGGCGGGAATGATTCAACGTATTGCGGTTGTCGCGGTGGTGGATAGTCAGCGACTGAAGCGGTGGACTGAGCAGCAGAGAACTGGGGATACTGGGCGTAAGTGGTTTGTCGTTCGTTGAAGCCAGGATCTCCTTCGAGTAGGGACCGGCGCGAGTCTTGTTTGAAAGCCAGGGCGGGCAGTTATGGCAACGGACTCCTCGAAAAATAGAGGAGTCGCGACGGTTCTTTGGTAGAGAGAGAAGGCGGTTGGCCGGCCCTTTTTGATGAAATGGGCTCTTTTTTGGGGGTCCCTGGGGGGGTTGTTGGCGCGCCAAATAGTAGGTCGCCTTTGCTGGGATGTCTCACTTAAACGGGAGTGGCGCTTATGTCCAGGCGGTCTTGGCAGAGGACCAAGCAATCAATTAAACGAACGGGAAGTGCGCGCGTGCTCCGGCTCACCGCAGGGAAAACGGGTTGTTGTGGGGTTCGGATGCTGAAGGTTTTGGTTGACAATGAAATTGGCGATGGCGAGTATGAATAAGAGAATGGAAAGAAAGTCTCAGGAGCCTATTCAGTGGGAACAGATAAAGTCAACAACTAGAGTTCAAATCGGGTTATGTTGGTGGTCGGCTGAAACAGGTCTGAGGGAGTTTGATCCGTGACGAGGGTGACGGGCGCAAGAGGCAGCAGCAACCACTACAGGTAGCTGTAATGAGCGTAGGTATTGTACGTAGGTAGCGCAGGGGTTCAGCACGCACCTTGCAGAAGGATCGGCTGTTCGTTCTGGGCTAAGGCGGGCTGATGCTGACTTTTTTTTTTCCTCTGTTTCTTCTCCCTCTTTCGCTGACAGGTTCGTGCTGCTTACGGGGGAGGAGGGGGAGCTGTTCTACCTTTTGCGGTTTAATGTCGTATCCGAGTCTGGATCAACGACCAAAAAAAGACACACAAACGGTCGTGTCAAGACGTCGTTATGCAGACAGACAGGCAAGCAAGCAGGCGAGAGAGCGATCGATCCCTATGGTGGTCGCATGCCCGTAGTCCGGACTGGCTTGGCTGTGATGCCGAATGATGCAATTGCCGAATTGATGCGACTTCCCCTCTTCCAATAAGCTATGTGCGTGTGTATGTGTGTCGGTCGAGTGTGCGTCCCAGCAAGAAGTAGGAGTGAATGACGAGGGTAGTAGGGCACTCGGTAATTGTTTCGTTCCTCTCTCTATACAGAACAGGAGCGAATAAGATAAAAAGGTTCGGCCCAAAGAAAAAGTGCAAAGTGAAGATCAACGAGTGGATGGCACGGCGGACCCGCGAGGCAGCGCAGATGGGTTTGGTTTTAATACCAAGAATCAAGATGTGAGGAGACTCGAAAAGAGAGTTAATAGAGAGTCCCAAGAACAGAAGTTGAATCGATCTGGACTGTGGAAAAAGCCGTGCCCTCTTCCATGTGCTTGGCCTGATTAAACTAATGTAGGAGGGAGATGGGCTGTGCAGTGGAAGGAAGTGTGCTGCGGACGCCTCGCGAGCAACCTCAGCCGGGGGAGGGGATGGGGCATGACCCGGGTCCTGTCCTCTCTGGTGAAGTTCCCGCCGATGGGGACCCCGTAGCAGCTACGAATACAGTGTGAAGACCATGCCGATGTAACCACAAGCCTCACCTCAACGGCACACCGCATAGCTCTGCAAAACTCGCAAATCTGCCTTGCTTCTAGCTTGCCAGTTTGTGAGCCTGCCTCCGTGTTCATACTGTTCTCCTGACAGTTTCAGCATGGGATGGCCACTAACTGCTAAGAAATGAACAGCCACGAATTTAGCTGGAGAAGGTGTTCCACTTTACGATACATCCTTGTCCCGATTAACCAGATACTTTTTTTCTTTTCTTTCTGGCTGCGCGTAGTTGAACAAATGCCCTATGCCTAATGGAGGGCGCTGCCTCATTGCTTTCAACGGCGAATTCCTCTGGATTACAGGGCGGATGATTCACTGGGCATGGACCCTTCTGACATACAAGTTGGCCCTGGAAGAAAAAGAAAGAAAAAAGTGCCAGTCAGACTCGAGTTTAGTTAGTATCTAGTCTGCAAATTTCACTGCAGACTTGTTGGTGCTTGGAAATGTCAGGTTCATTAGACTCTGACGAGAGGAATCATGAGCCTTGCAGGGTAACCCGCACCCCCAAGATAGATGGCCTACAGATGCATACATTAGTTTTATGGTCTACTGGGAAGTTCCCGAATATTCATATGCTGGCTGGCTGGTTGGTTTTGTTCTTCTGTTCTATTGTACTCTGCCCTACAAACCCAGCAATAATAGTCACTGGTGGGCACTGGTACATACGGTAAACCCAATTTTATTCAACGACACACGGTTCGTCAGGCGTGTCGTCACACTTGGGCCAGACCATTGCCTTTGAGCTCAGTGGCTCGGCGATCATAGTAAGGTCATTCCACAACAACAAGGCTCACTTGATACTCCTTAGCGGGGTGTTCAGCCTACGAGATTTTGGAACCACCGCGCCAGACCGAACCGTAGAAGAGAGGATAGTAGCTCTTTTCGCTCACGGTTATTTTCATGCTTCTCCAGCGGCAAGAAACGGTCGGTCTTCTCCATGTCATGTGAATGATGGGGGGCAATGAGGACTGGAAATTTTACCTTACAGCTGTCAAGAGTTTCGTCGTTTCGAACATAGCATGTCGACCAACGTTTGAACCCTGTCCGGCTGGAGTCCACCCCTTGACCCATCTAAGAAGAAGCCGACTTTCGAGACTGGAACGGGATGCCCCCTGCAGCATCTGACGGGCGCGCACGCTCATAAAAGAAGGCATGGCAACACCTAGAGAGGTAGCATTCCTGGTATTACCAGCCAGCAGGTACACGGGAGCAGAGAGGCACAGCTCGGCATGCACACATAATACACCCTGATACACGGTACTACACCACGTTTATAAACTACCGCAGATGCTCAGCCACGGTAACAAAGAACAATTCGACTACAATATACTCATGTTGAATTCAGCGTAGATCATTGACGAATGAGCGATCTGTGAAAAAGCAGCCAAGAGAGCAGCAGCATTACGGTGACCCTTAGCAATGCTGTCAAAGCTATGTAGGTAGTCAGTCGAAACCACTGTCCCGCTAATCAATCAAAGTACCGGCAAAGAGCTCTGGCAGCAGAGGCCAGGTATCACTCCTTTCATCGTCAAAATGCACCGGATCCGAATTGCCATTCATAGACCAAAGCAGCGAAGGAGGGGAGGGGAAAAAAAAAACAGAATAGCAAGCACAATTTCCGGGGAACGGCACTTGGTTGCAACCGTGGGGCCATTCCTTTTTCTATGGAGACCCAATACGAAAAAGAAGCCCCGAGTACAAATCAAAACCGGGCGCGAGGAACATCCCTACCAAGAATTCTCGTTGGTAGGATTGCCGAAGATCCGACGATCTCTTTCCCAAACGATGTTGTCAAAAGGCAGACAACAGGCAATAGTCAAATAGTCTGTTAGCATACGAGCTGCAGGGCCCAAATTTAATGAGTATCATTGAGGTGCATGACTTGCATTGCATGACACGCAAGAGAAGAAGAGAAGACGATCTATAAAAACCTGTTGAGTTCAGTCCATGAACGTTAGCCGATTGCCGAGTTTGAGGAACTTCCCGTCAGCTATTTATTGCTCCGTCAGTCAGTCGGTCGGTCCCTAATATGGCCCACTGGACAGGCACTACGCTGCGTACTCACTTTGACAGACTGCAAGTAGGGTACAAACAGCTTGATATGCTCGAGACATACCTAATGGACGCTTCCTTCGCAACACGTGCTTTCTAGCCGGTACTTTTGAGTTCTGCCTTAAGAGAAATATTGGCTTTTTCCGCTCGAGGCACAGATACACATGTAGTCATGACTTATTGACCTAGGACCCAGAAAATACCATACATTACGGCATGAATTGCCTGTTTACACCACTAGTAGTCGTTGGGTTTTGGTGACCAGCGGGTGGAGGTTTTCCTTTCAATCCTGATGCGTCCGAGGCTGGAGTGACACAGGCTAGGACTGCCCGAGATGGGCACCGCTCAGCAGCAAGTCCAGCATGGTCACTTTCGACAATTTACAAAGGTCTCCTTCATGGACATCGTATTATCGTTCATCTGCAGGTATCCAAGCTGGTATTCTTGTTTTCTGTGGGCAACTGTTCATCCAGGCAGCATTAGCAGGAACAGATCAGCTCTACCAGGAGGCGGGCAGCCAGTCTGTATATATCATTGATATCAAACACATACCTATACACTTTGTTGTTGTACCTGCGACTAAGATGTACGTAGATGAGCCCCAGACTGTCAGGAGAAACTAGGACCAAGTATGCAAGTATCAATGGACATGATATTTGATGGACCAGAAGAGGTCATTGGGTAATCCAGTCTCTGGACGTGAGTAAGCATGAATGGATTGCTACAGAGTACGCTCTGTACATACGAGGAGTGACTGCAAGGCACCACCCGTCTGACTGATTGTAAGATCGCCATTCGTACTGAGGCGGTCACATTGCACATGTATTGCTTGTTCACGAGCTCGAAACTTCTCTCGTCCAACAAAGTATGCTGAAAGATTTCCATCCGGTGGCCTACCAGGAGGTATTCCATAGTTTTGGTTTGTAGGTTAGGGATTCAACAGCCTTGGAAATGGGCAATATCTGATCTAATTTTCCCCCTCTCTTCTCAGCATGAATAGACACGCCAAGACACGTCCTGTGTAGTCACTTGTGCCATGTATAGTTCTGGATATCTTGCCTAATTCGTCACTTGCGAGAACATTGTAATCGAACCAATTCATCACTGGTCTCAACTTTAATTCTTTCTTTCGGCTAGATCTTTCTATTCCTGTTTGTTGCCCACTGCTGCAGATCCAAAAGGGCGCCCGCAGAACTAAATTTAGAATTTTCAGGGCCCCTCCCCTCCCTTCGACCCGCCCCCCTACTGTACACTACATACGTAAATACCTTAAGCACCAACCAGCTACTACCAAGCCCTTGAAAGCCCAGCCCAAGCAAGAGAAAGGAACCAGAAAAAAAAAAAAAAAGCCATCCTTGGGACCAGCCCAGTTGCACCAGCCGATCGCGCGCTGGAGCCGCATTGGAAACTTTTGGGGGTTCAGGCGCGTTGGCGGCACTACGTCAATCTACACACGCGCCAAATCATAGCATAGGTATCGCAGCGCCTCACCACCAAAAAGGCCCCAGCACAAGATTCAAGGGGGGAAAGGGCACGCCAATCGTGGACAACCCTCGCTCATCATCATGATGGACATCGACGATGATGATGTGCTGCGCACTGTCGCAGCGGGAGGGTCGATGGATTAGTGAGTTCCTTGCCCGATTGATGGTCCACAGTCGCTTCTTGAAGATTGTATGTACTGACCGCATGGGAATAGCTCCATTTGGCCAGCCCTGCTACCAAGAATAGTCGCACGCATCGAAAAGGTATCATGACCCCGAGCACGCCCGTCTAGCCAACCTGAAGATCGCCGCTGTACTGACACAATGGCTTCAGATTGCCCATGAAGAGTTCGCTATACCTAATCTACCTCCACCAGCACCTGTTGTCATCCCATCCTCGGTGCCTCACCCCCCTCCATCAGACTCGGACACAGAGAACTTCTTACCACCGCTGCCGTCCTCGCCGACCAATCCACCAAGCACCACATCCTCCCAGGACACGAATAAGGAGAACACCCCCCTTGTGACGCGAGCTCTACCTCAAGTCACTTCCGCTCCTGCACCTCATGTGCCGGCGCCAGTGCCTCTACCTCCGGGTACTCTCCCGATCCAGATCAGAGAACTTCTCGACGAGATAACGCGCACGTTGACGGACACATTTCCAGCCAATCCACCACACACTATTCAGCGGCTCGCGGAGCTGGTGCTCACCCCTAAGCACCACTACAAGTCGCTGCCAACATATTTGCACGCGCTGGACCGCGTGGTCCACGTCACCTCCGGCCTAAACGTCTATCCGCTTCCGCCGGCCATACCAGACATGTCAACAACGGGTGGTCTGCTCTCCAATGGTGTCTCTGACGGCTCTGGCCCCAACCCATTTGCTACCCCGGGAAGCGACGAGGCGCTTGGCGGCGCTCTCCTCACTCCGATCCCTTGGCTGCAGCCGCATGGCCCAGAGACAAACGCCCTGTCGCCACCAAACTCGTCGTCGTCTCAAGGGGACTCTTCGACGGGGTCGGATCGCGCAAACAGCGGCAGTGGTGCTCCCGACTCGACTCCCAGCGAGTCGCCCGAGCTGCGCACAGAGAGCACCGAGACCATCGACGGTCCTAATGGCATGGGGAGCATCGAGACAGTCACAGTCACGGTCAACGGACTGCCAAATATGGGAACTCGAGGAGTTGGCGTAACGCAGGGAGAATTGTTGCGACAGGAACAACGCGCTGGTGTTGTGCCCGTTTCGCAACTGGCGTCGCATCTCTCTTCGCACCATCACCATGCAGCAGCTGCCGCCGCCGCCGCTCAACAACGTTCTTCACAAGCCGCAACACCCAGTAGTACCGCCGTGGCGGCCGGAAGTGCCGTTGAGAGCGGGGAAGTAGTCGGCACGGTTCAGGGCGCCGACGAGGATGAGAAGCCTCACGCTCGTGGTCCGGAGGAGATTGGAGCCGAGGACATGGGACCGCAGCCAGAGGGTGCCAGCAACACAAATTATCACGTAGGTGGGCCAGGTGCAAGTCTCGAAATGCAAGGTATCGATGTTGAGGCTGCGGTCGGCCGAAAGGCGACCGAATCACACTCATCTCCAGAGCCCAAGGTTTCGGCTGAGTCCGCCTCTAACGGCGAGACAAAGGATGCAGAGGAAAGCGACAAGATGGAAGGTGTCGAGACGCCGAGCGCCAGATCTGCCACTCCCAAGCGAGAGGCCGAGGATGAACTCGAAGGCGAGCGCAAGAAAATTAAGGAAGACTCTAGTGCTACGCCTGCAGATGCTCAGCAATCTGGAGCAGACAATAAGACGACGGAAGCCGAGACAGAGGATGCTCAGAAAGACGACTCAACCACGAGTATTGAGAAGGAAAAAGGGAGTTCGGTGAAGGACTAGTGGTCCAAGGCTTTCCTTTAATTCACTTGAGATCTTTTTCTTTCCTCCCTTGATTCTGCAATAGTTGGTGTGGGCGTTGATAGGAGCTCCTCATGATTGGCTTGCCGTATTGTCTTTCCTGATTTATAATGTTGCTTTAGTCGCATGGGAAAAAGGCGGAGCAGGAATCAGTTCAAATAACAGATAGGAGTGGTGTGTATGTATGATACCAAAGCAAGAGAAAGGGCTATGATGAAGGAGGGTGCATCAATGCCAACTCTAGCCAGTCGATTTCCATAGCCTGACCATATCGCCAGCTTCATGGCTTTTGCAGTTATGATCAAATGATATGACTCCAAAGGCTGACCAACCTATTTGAAAGAAGAACACACATTCCAAGTTTATGAGTTAAGGTCCCTCTACCGGTTTTCCCAGGTCAAGATGCACCTTTTATTGAGCACAGCTACAAAGATCTATGTGATGAACCATGACGTACTCACAATGTCGTGTTAAAATCAAGTCAAGCCCGGTGTTCCTGTGCTCCTTACACCATGCCATGAAAACAGAGACCGAGGCGGCATCCACGCCCGTCATTGATGCAACCGTTACATAGAGGCAAAAAAAAAAAAAAAAAAAAAAATTTACATGACCGCCCTTTCGACTGCTTAACACATCATCAAACTTTTATTCATCGATACGCAAGATGCTCTCGTTGCTGATGGTACTCTTCTGATTTACGTCACGCTTCACCCGGTAGAAGGTGTCAGTAAAGTCTGAACACCTCATATGCCGGAGAAAGTTTTCGTCGTGCGTAATGATGATGAGCTGAAAATTGCTCTGGCCTTTGCGTTTGTCGATAAGATCGTGCAGAGAGCGCGCCAGTGCTTCAATGTTGTCCGAGTCCAGGTTGGTCGTCGGCTCATCGAGAGCAATTAGTCCGCAGTTGGTGCCAAACGATTCTGCAAGAGCCAGACGGATGATAATACATGCGAGAACCTTTTGGCCAGCAGAGCAACGACCACGCATGTCCATCTCTGTCCCATTCTTGATCATGGCAACACGATAGTTGTAAGCACGGCGACTGGTGGAAGAGCTTTCGCTCTCGGAGCGAATCATGATCGTGTCAATATCGGTGCCCTGGTAGACCTCGCGCCACAGTTCCTGCGCTATCGTGTTCACTTCGTCCATCTTGAGTGTGTGGTACTGCATGATGGCATGGTCGAGTGCTGTGTTGTAATTGTGCAGATCTTCCATGGCCGCCTTGGTAGTCTCAACCATGATATGAGCTTTGCGATATTGATCGTTTGCATCCTTATACTCTGTCTCGAAATCGGCCATGAGTCCAGCCAGTTCCAAGTCCTTCGATTTCGCCATGCCGATGAGGCTTCCGCATTCAGAATTGTACCTGTTGCTCAAGTTATCGAGTAGTCTGGACTCGTCCATGAGCCGGTCGTAGTCTTCTGATGCGTTGCGCGATCGCAGGCCACGGATTTCCTCCTTCAAGGTCTCAATCAAGCGAAGGTTCTTGCGATAATTCAGATTGTCGCTAATGTTCTTCTTCCTGCGGCCGCTGTCGCTGATTTCCGCCTTCAGTTTGTTGGTTCGCTCAGTCAGGTCAGCCATGTCTCCTTCGATGCGCTGAACCGTTTGATTAAGACCCTGGATAGCTCGCTCATTCGTGGCGATGTTTGCGGGGCCGCCGCGGTCAAGGTAGTCGCGAATATCACCTTCAACCATCTTTAGTTCGCTGACAGAACCAGCCAGCTCATCCCGTTCGTTGGCTTTCTTCATCTCCTTGTCTCGGCCTCTGTGAATGACGTCGTCACGGATCGCACGAGCCTTGGAAATCTGTGGCTCGATAGCCGCCAGTTCTTCATCAGCCTTTTGAATGGTGGCCCTCTGATTGGAGATGTCGTCGCGAATAGACTGCAACTGATTCTGGAAATCCTTTTTGCGTTCCAGCTGCTGGGTCGCGCTGTTGACCTTGTTCTGAAGCTGTGCCTTTTCCAACTCGAACCGGTTGACCGTATCCCGCATACGCTGCTTATCGCCCTGATATTTGTTGACTTTATTCTTGGACGCCCTCATCTGTTCGTTGCAAGCATCCTGTAGCTCGCGTATTTCGTCTGGGCTTCGTATAGCGCCTCCAGACTGCTGCTGAGAGACGATTCTTTCTACTTGAGCCTCGGCTTCCACAATATCACGGTGAGTGTGCGAGATTTCTGAAACAGTCTTGCTCATGGACTCTACGTCCTGTCGCTCTTCAGATTTTGCACGGACGACGTGGTCCTTCTCCTCCAATATGGCCACAAGTTTCTCTTCTTGCCCTTTAAGGTCTTGCAGTTCCTTGTCGAGTGCGGGCTTCTCAGCACATAGTTTGATGTAGTTCTCGAATTGTGGCCGAACGAGACGAAGTTTTCCAAGTTCCTCCTCGTGTTCAGCGAGGTCCCGTTGCGCATTGACTTTGTGACTGTCATCGAGAGCGTCTGCAATCCTCTGGGCTAATTTCGACTTCTCAGAGACAGCACTGAAAACGCGATCACACAACAGACATTTGTTGTTTTTGGTCATGGTTTTCTGGCACTTGCCATAGAATGACTTCATCTCGTCAAATAGAGATACCTCTTTCTCGAGGTCGAGAATCGTTTCCTCCAACTGCTCTATTTTCTCCGGCAGATCCTCGATTAGAGCCGCCTCATCGGGGAAAACATCTCGCAGTGCATCCTGAACGGCCTTCTTGGAGTTTTCCAACTCTGCCTCCCTCTTCTTGGTCTTGTCCTTGGCTCCAGACAGAGCGTATTGAACCTGCTTGTGATTTTGTATTGCGTCATCGCGCACACGAGTCGCGTCCTGAAGAATCTTTGCCTTGTTTTGCAGAATTTGCTGAAAGTCTTTATCGATCGTATCCGAGTTCCATGTAGCACCGAGAATGCTTGAAATTTTCTCACTCCATGTGTTTTTCAAAGTGTCAAGCTTGCGCTTCTTCTCAGCGAGTTCCTTCGTGCGTAGATCCAACTGTGCCCGATCTTGCGCCAGACGTGTACACTCCACTAGTTCACGTCCGAGCCTGTCGTTTTCTGCTTCGGCTTTGATCAAGTTCTCGTTTTCCTGTTGGATCTTTACATCAATATCAGACGTTTGTAATTCTGCGACAGCCTTTTGTAGATTCTGGCTGATCTCTCCAAAGGATGCATCCAGAACGGCCTTGGAGCCTTCATCGACGTCGATAGAGCTGAGTTGAGTCTGGGTCCTGTTACTCTTCTTTTCGAGATCTCCAATTCCATTCTTGGCAGATTGGCGTTCTTGTGCCCACGATAGCTTCTGACCTTCGAGGTCAGTAATGATGGCGATTTTCTTGTCTTGCTCTTCTGCATTTTCTCTTTGAACGAGTTCAAGCTCTCGCTTCTTGTCACTGAGCATTTTCTGAATGCGTTCGACAAATTGCTTGACCTGTCTGTCATCAAGATCGCCGTCAAACCCTCGAATGCTGTGGGTTTGTGCCGCCCCATGAACCAGCTCCACGCGAGATTCCAGTTGACGTTCATATCGTTCCTTGTCAGATTGAAGCCTGCCTTGTTCCGACATCTTTGCAGCAAGGCTTCTGCGTGTGGCTTCGAGATCTTTCCTGTGCTCTCCATACTGCGTTTGGTTTTCCTTGTATTCCTGCTCGTATCTCGCGACCTTGGCCTCATACTGTGCAAGAGTGTCTTCAAGCCAAGCGTCTGACTCCTTCAGTTCTTCAATACTCTGTCGGAGCTCCTCAATGTGTTCTTTACGAGTGCGAAGCTGGGACTCCTTATTCCTGAGGTCGTTGACGATATCGAGGAAGCTGTTTGCCTGCTCGTGTTTCTCCTTGGCCTCCTGGCTCACCTGCTCAATTTCTCGTTTTTTCTCGTCTATGTCCTTGTGGAGCCTGTCAATCTCAACCACAAGCTGTTCTGATTTCCGCTGGGCGCGCTCGGCCTTTTCCTTGTTTGTCTTGCAGTGCGCTTCTTCCGTCTTCCATCTATTTAGCTCTTCGCCCTTCTTCTTCCGAATCACCTTCAGGTTATCTATAGCCTTGGTGTATTTCTGCGCTTCAAAGATCTCGTCGAAGCGTTTCTTGAGCGTCGCAGGCTCGCTCATGGGCCACAGGGATTCGTCCTGATGGCAGAAGATGACAAACTCCAGAATGGCAGGTGCTACACCGAGGGTTTTGGGGACCAGACTGTTGATGTCAATGTTCTTGGCAGTAATAGAGCTGCGTTCGCCCAATCGTCGGGTTTCCATCGAGTTCTCAATCGTCTTGACGCTCCGGGTGGTCTTCTTGAGTGTGAGTTGCAAACTCCTATTCACAACGTGGGTGGCATCAGGGGGGGTCAGGAACTTCAGTTTGACTTGAGCAAGAACATCGGCCTGGGCAAGCAGTTTTGGATCGTGAATGAAGGCGCCGCCCTTGCTGTTGGGGGGCAGCTCGCCGGTGGTCGCATATTTGAGACACTCGATGATGGTTGTCTTGCCCGAGCCGTTGTAACCCACGATCAAGGTGAGGGGGGTATGGAACTGCAAAGTCTGGCTGATGTGAGGGTCAAAGGACCGCACGCCCTTGATCGAGAGCTTATCAATTTTGGACATGATGACGGATCCGACGCAAATTTAAGAAAGAGGTGGTGCAGGACGTTGGCAGCAATAGGCTCATATCACGGGGCCAGGTGATATCAATTGACTGCCGCAAACTTTGGATCAAAAGATATCCATGCTTCTTGCTATGGATACGTTGCTGGTTCAAGTTGCGTCTTGTCAAATCGCTTGGATGTTGTTGCGTGGAAGGCGATTGCGGTTTTCTTTTCTTTTCCCTTTTTCTTTCTGGCTGGTTAGCGATCCGCGAACGCGTCTGGTTAATGGGTTTGCTGCTGGGAGACGCGCCAGAGCTGACTACGACTGCCCAGGCAGCAGCAGCAGCAAGTAGCGAGCCATCCACCGGCCCTGGTCAGAACCCCGCAGCTGCTGAAATGCAGGGTCCCTTCTTCATCGAACTCTACGTACTGCATATCTCGGGCACACATCCAATAATAGCCGCTCCAATTTCAAAGGGCTGAATGTGACCGGTTTTTAATAATCTCAAGCTCACGAGACGCTACGGATATACTTTGGATTGAAAGGCTCTGGGGATTCAATCTGTCGCGTTACCCAAAAGCCAGTTCTAACGCAAAACAGAGTTCTGATGTTCAATATCTCCAATGTAGTTTGCGGATTCTTATTACTTCCGTCGTCCAAGTCAAGTAATAAGATCACCAAAAAGAGAAGATGTCGCTGGAAGATGTCGCTGGAAGATTTCTCTGGCTGTATAGTATGTACGGCGACTTGCGTTGTGTTTTCTTTGCTACGGAATGACGTAGTGTCATAGGCTCATGGCGACTTACATTCCCTTCTGAGCCAGTCTTGAGATTCACAACGGGCCACAAGTATTCAAGTTCATCATTGAGTATGCATTTAGCTTGCATCCTTCCAATATATATTTAGAAAATTTCATATATTAACTTTTATTTATTTTTTCAAAGCCCTATTTCCAATCTTTGTCTCACTCTTTTCTTCGACTCCTTTCAAGCAGAAGATACGGAACAAAGGACAAGAAGATTAACACACAAGGTAGGTATTGAACCCAACGGCAAGGAAAATTCTCCGTCTACTAGTGGCCATATGATTGGTTCCTCTCTTGGTAGTGGAACGCTAGCTATCAAGCAATCAAGGGACTAGGTTAGGTGAGAGCAGCTGACACAAGGACCCCACGTTCGTACTTTTCAGGTCGACCGACCTGACTTGTATTCTGGAATTTGATAACTTTAGTGTGGCACCTTGCAGCTTTTCTCCTTATGGATCCCCTGTTTCGTGTCTCGAGGGGTGTGAACGGCCGCAGATGTCTGACGTCGCGGCACAAAGAAGAAAGAGAAGGCTCGCAAGTAATGGAGGGTTCTGCATTCTGTAGTGGCCTAGCAAGCCCAGATTGGTATTCCGTATACGTGGTACCATTGCCGAGTAGTATAAAGGTGGGCATCTTACTTGACTACATTACCTGCACCTTGACCCATTTTGTATACTCATTTCCCAATTACTAGACTCGGGTATGAATGTTGATCATCTTGGGCATAAACAGAGAAAGGGTCTTCTTGAGTTCTAGGTATATTACCTACTGGATGCTGTAAGCACTGGTAACCAGCAGTTATGTCACAGCAAATCTCGTAGCTAAAAATGCCCCGGAGCAAACAAGGCTTCCCCAAATTGACTCCACAAAGGGGCCCAGTCTACTACCGCCAGCGCTCTGGAACCACTATGATGGAAGGACTCGAGCCTACTCCTAACATCGCCCTGGCGCCTGCAAGTGGGCAGCCAGCAAGCACAGCGCGCCTCGTCTGGGAGAGCAAGACCTCTTTTATTATGAACTAAACTGGCAAACTTTTCTGCGCACGACGAAAAAAACCTCCGCCCCTTTGGCATTGCGTCATTGGCTTCCAGGGGTCAATCTCCCGCCAGACTCAACCGACGGCCTAATATAGAGTGGATATTTCGCTTCCCATGAATGACTTGGTTGCTGAATCTACCTATCACCGGCTTTTAGCTCGCCGCTCTCGTGTCTGGCAAGAAATTAGACACGACGACTGTGATCGACCCTCAGCTGGGGGGTTATCCCTCCCCCTCCCAAAAAAAAAAAAAAAAAATGATTACTGATGACGGCTGCGGAGGAGATCTTCCCACTGGTAGAATGTAGTAGTACTGTCCTCCAAACTCAGAGTCAACAGCAGCGGGTCGCCTCGAATTGGCGGGGGGTCGTCACAAGCTTGACAACCCGATTCTTTTCACTATCGAAATTCCAAAATCCCATCCCAGTTTTCCTTCGCCTCCCAATCTATTCTTCCTGCTTCTAAACACCTTACTTTCTTCCCTTTATTTTTTCTTTCTCACCCCCTGCTCGTACCCAGACGATACTTTTTGGCTTTCAATTTTCCTCTCAACCTCATCGCCAACCTCGTGCGATCTGATTTCTGCTGGGTTTATAACTATAGACTTTCCAGATTTTGGTATCGGCAACCCGTCCAGACAGACTATCGACCGCTTGAGCCATCAACTCGGCGCGCGCAAAGTACCGACCTACCTAACCTACCTAACCTACCGACATAACATACATACCTGGTGTCCTCCACGCTCAAAAGGCAAAAAATCAGAGACCCAAGAAGAAAGAAATTACGAGTTGCTTAACCTGCCCACGCACATGGCATTAAATGCGGCGGCCACCTTGACTTTCGCCGCCCCACGTTAAGCCACCGTTGGCACCGCACCGCACCCACATGAGTTCGTCGCAGCAGCAGCCGCAGCGTCATTTCTGGCAAAGCTTCGAGGCAGAGGACCAAGGGGCCCTTCACCCAACCGCCAGGATGAATCACGGGCCACCACCCTACATGTTCGGCTTTTCCAGCGCCCCGGGAGCCATGAACCCCGTAAGATACCCATCCACTTGCAGTTTGTCGCTTGCTTTCAATGTTCCCCGTCACACAGCTCAGCCCAGCGCAGCACAGCACAGCATAACATCACATCACATACATCAAATCTCCTTCCTGCACCGCACATTTTGCCCATCGTCGTAGTCAAGTGAAAAAGAGTGGGCGCGCCTCATGTGCGAACCCTCCCTGAATCAATTGCATTTTTTTGCACTCTTACCCTGCAGAGCATTCGGCTGATTACCTGGGCTCCTACCTCTGCTGCAGATGTCAGCCGACGACACGATGGCTACGTCAATGGATGATAATCTCATGTTTGGGAACTTTGATCCAAATATGCCCATGATGGATATTGACGACATGGCCCTGACAATGCCCACGCAACCCATTTATCCTTCCGTATCAAATGCGCAGAATGTGCAAAGTAATGGCATGGTCTCCTCCAACGAAGACACGCCCAGATTCTCGACAAATTCCGCCGAGGACAGCCCCGCCCCGCCGTCGTCTACTCAAACTCAACCGCCCGGCTCAAACACCCTGACCGAGTTTACCAAGCGGAGGAATTGGCCAGCCAAAGTCGTCGAGGAACTAAAGGACTTTTTACAAATTCTCGATGCTCATGGCAGGATTAAATACGTCTCTCCGAGCGTCGTCTCACTAACCGGCTTCCAAGCAGAGGATATAGTGGATAACTTTCTCAAGGACCTGATCCACGCAGACGATGTAGGCACTTTTACGTCGGAAATGAACGAATCTATAGCAAGTGGCAACTCGATGCGCATGTTCTATCGACTGAGGAAGAAAGATGGTACATATGCTATTTTCGAATCCGTCGGCCATGCACACATAGCCTCGGCCAAGTTTGCTCCAAATCCCGACAATCAGACACCCTTTTGCCAGGCTGTGTTCGTCATGTCCCGGCCATATCCAACAAAAAACGCCTCGCTACTAGACTCTTTCCTCGAGCACAAGATCGAAAACGAACGGCTGAGGCGGCGCATTGCCGAGCTACGGCGGGAAGAGGAAGAGGAGGAAGCATCTCAAAGAAGTTGGTATGAGGGGCAAGACGCGTCAACCACAAATGTCACGGCTTCCGAGGATATACAGTCTCAAACAGGATCCACGTTCCAAAACCAAGACTCTGCGGCGATGCCACCGCCTGAAAGGCCATCGTCACTTAATGCCAACCTCACCAAAGAAAACCTTGAAGGTGCTATAGCTGGAAGTCGTCCCGACTCGCTCCGCGATAAAATGTCTCGATTAGGAGGAGCTTCTCATGCCGACACCATTGAAATGCTCACGGGACTACGTTATGGGGAAGGGGAGCGTAGTAAGGGCCTCACAACTGGAAATCACAGTCCGGTTCTAATCAAGGGCGATGCGGGAATCGCGATACCTGTGGACAGAGATCCCCGGACAGGAGAAAAGAAAAAGAAAATCAAGGTTGCAGAGGAATACGTTTGCACCGACTGTGGTAAGTCAAAACCAATGTTGCTTGAATACTGTAGGATACTTATTGTGATCACCAGGCACACTTGATTCACCAGAATGGCGGAAAGGACCCAGCGGACCAAAGACGTTATGTAATGCCTGTGGTCTACGCTGGGCCAAGAAGGAGAAGAAAAAGAATGCCGGTGGTGCAGGCGCCGCTGCTCAAGATACTCCAATGACGGACGGTTAGATGCGATTCGCAGCAAGGGCCAAGTGAATCGGTCACTATAGACATTACCCACGGACCTACGGCGTTAGGTGTATTTCGGTCATCATTCAGGATACGAGAAGCATACTGGCAAAATGGACTTGAGGACTTAAGCATGGTGTCAGGGGAAAATCTTTGGAGTTGGCTGCGCGCCTGCAACGTATGTCATGATTGTACAGCATGAAAGCGACAAATTCCCTTTTTATAATTTAAACTTGTAATTATCAAGATACCTCGGCGAAGTCCGTCATGGCAGCTATAGGCTAAGCTTTACAGGGAGGGAAAGGAGAAATCGAAGATCATGACCTTGGATTGGGGCATCATTCCGCGGTGCCTCTATCCAATCAGAGTTTACTTTTGAGCCAGCCTAGCAAGCCATTCGTGTTGTTGTTGACGTCCCATCCCTTGGGCTCCCACCACGGCCAAATGGCGGGATGTTCTCTATCCCACACGCCCCGAAAGTCGGGCTCCCTTTTCTCCAAGAAGCTTCGGATGCCCTCCCTTGCGTCGCTGCCGCGGAACAGATCAAAAAAGACCCTGCTCTCGAGTTGATACGCCTCCTCGGGGGACGATGCGCCACGGTAGATCATGTCCTTCATGGCCTTGATGGCGACACCGCTTGTCTTGGTGGCGATTTCCTCAGCCAGCTCCAAGGCTCGAGGCAGGACCTCGTCGGGTGCCACCACCTCGGCGAACAGGTCGCGGATGAGCGGGTCCGACGGCGCATACGTCGAGCCCGTCGTCACGAGATGCAGTGCCCGACCGGTACCCAGGATCCGGGGTAGGAAGAAGGACGATGTTGCCTCCACTACATTGGACGGTCAGGTTACTTACTCCCAAAAAGTTCAAGAATGGGGAAGGAAAACGGCTCGACGAAGACCGATACTCTAAAGATATGGCAGAAACAAGAAAGTTTAAAAGAAGAGCCACATGTGCTTACTATTGATGCCCCGCCTGGCAAATACGAAGCCGACCTTGGCATCACGACTTACGACCCGAAGGTTACAAGGAAGCGTCATGGTGACGCCGACGCCGACGGAGTGACCATTCATGGCAGCAATGACGGGCTTGGTACACTGGGAGATGGCGATGCTGACCTGGGCACCACCGTCGCGGTGGGCCTCGCGCCGGCGGTCGAGCTCCTGCTTGCTCGGGGGCGGCGCCCTGGCCGACGACCCCGTGGCGTCCGAGGCATTGTCCAGGTCCATGCCCGCGCAAAAGAACTTGTTGCGCGGGTCCGTCCCCGAAAACACAATCACCTTGACGCGCGGGTCCGACGACAGCAGGCCAAAGGCCGTCACGAGGGACGTCACCATGGTGTCGGTAAAGGCATTGTTGCGCTCCGGCCGGTCCAGGAGCACCTTTATGACGGGCGTCGGCACCGGCGACGAGGCCGGGTGGTGCTCTAGCCGGAGCTGCGGGATGGCATAGTCGTTGTAAGAGAGAGGATGCTGAGGAGACGTCATTTTCCTTTGCACTTTTAATTTTGCTAGATGACACCTTTTTTTCTTATACAAATATTATACAGAGAGGTGAATGGGATGTTTCCAAAAGTCAATTGGAGATAATCACGAGAATGTATAGGATTTTTTATTTAAAATAAGTGTAATAAAATGAGAATGACGCCGAATCTTGTCTGGCATGAGGCCGCACCTCTCCGCACCATCAAATCAGAGAGCCATGGGAGTGAGGGGAGAGGGGTTCAGGTTTGGGGTAAGGCGAAAGAACCGAGGCCCGTTTAAAGGGGGTTCTTGGTAAGAAAGTTATTTATGTATAGTAGGGCCAAATAATCCTGGGAGAGAAAAATAGAAAAAGAGTACTTGAAAGCCATGCAGGGTACAAAAGAAATCAAATGGACGACGTCGAGTGGGCGCAATGTTGTGTTACCTTGCCACAACCTTGATGTGCGCATAAAGGAATAACATGGTGGTTCAAAATCACGGTGCCGATTACCTACCTCCTAAATCACACAAGACTTGTCAGGACATCACTGCAAGCACCAGTTTCACTTTGGGGTTGTAGGTTGCTAATCCGTAATGTGTCACACTGTCCTATTCAGCATTTTATCGACGCTTTCATGTCTGCTGCATAGCTTGCAGTTTTTGTGGCCTTGTCCTCCTTCTTTGCTTACATGAACTTGGAAGCCAAGCTCATCAGTCCAGAAGACGAAGACGAGTCTCCTCCCTTGCTCTTCATGTAAAACTTGAGGGCCATCTCACCGGCCTGCATGACGGCCGACTCCTTGCTGGCCTCACCCGAGACCTTGCCTTCGTTGGCCTTTTGGTCAAACAGCTATCATTTTCGTGTCAGTAACACAGTTCTCGTCCTAGGATTGCCAATGAGCTCGGATTGGAGACGACTAACCTTGCTGGCCTCGGCCATGGCAAGTCCGATGAAGGCGCTTTGGCTGTTGGCAGACTAAATTTGATGTCAGTTCTGGGTCAAAGGCACAACACTGATTGATCCGGTGGTTATGGGTCTGTCAAAACATACCTCGGAGTTACCTGCCGAACCACCAGAGAACATCTTTAGTGCCTGCATGGCTGCAGCTGAGCCCATGCCAGAGCTCGTTGCCTTTTCGTCATCATCGTTGCCGCCAAAGAAGCGCTTGTGTTGCTGAACAGCATCTACAAAGCGGGAGACACCCAAGCATTAGCCAATGACACCAATACCATTCGATATAGTACAACCACGGGGAATCATGTTGTGGTAAGTGGGTGGATGTCGGCAGCTTTGTTGTGCTGCCATGCGGCTGCCAGATTTCCGCTGTAACTTACCGTCTTCGTCAACGTCCTCCTGTGCCAGGTTGCCTCTCTTCTCATTCAGAGCTCCCAGCAGGGTAGAGAACAAGCTGCTATCTCCTGAATCGCCGGCGTGGCGGCTGGCGTGCTCTGCGGCGCCTCTCAGGTCATCGTCCTCTTGACCGTATCCGCCGGCAGGGTAGGAGCCACCGTGGGCTGTCGATTGCGATATTGTCAGTGTGTTTCTCGAAATAGGAGCTCGATGGGAGCTCAAAGTATCCATTCTCTAGCCGAATAGCCGGCTGGATTCATGAGGATCGCTTTCGTACCTGGGGCATCTGCATACAGGTTCGATTAGCGAGATCATACAAGATACTGCAAGCAGCTCTGAGGGGTTTGGCGGGGTAGTATAAGATGATGCGTAGAACATACCTTCACCACCGAAAAGGGCAGGCATTTTTGATGTTTGTGAAATTGGTATCTGTTCCGAGTAGGATACTGAACTGTAGTGGTCGACAATTTGGTTCGTTCAATGAGTAGTGTAGTAAAGATTGAGACTGCTGAAGGAAGCTCAAAGCTGCGTTCTGTTCTATTCTGTTCGTGTTTACTTTGGGTGGGCAATCTGAGCTGTCCCCCCCAAGGACCCTGACCGCTATGCCCATGACGTCTGCGGGGCTTCTGAAACCACACGTGGAGCTGCTGCATCGCTGCTGGAATCAAATAGGGGAGCTCATGCGGAGCCCACAGCACTACCGGCGCAGGCTGGAGGCCAATAACCACTCGTCGTACGACGTGGCAACTTGGCACCACTCTGATTCTGTACTGCTAGTAAGGTACTCATGGCGGACTGGGGGAGAGTGAATCTTTGGATCAACAAGGTGCTTTCCATCATGCGGGGGATTCCCACACAAGATCAAGTGGTACTGTACGTATCAATAACGTTTCGACTTGCTTGACTGTAGTCCTAGGATTCATTGATTTATCACAACCAAGAATAGCCAGTTTGGTGTCTAGGAAAGGACCAACTCGTCGTATATTTGTCACAAATTAAATACCAAGGACTTCTACCAGACACTTTGGCAATTGTATAGGCGGATGATGTCGGAGGATGTTACTGTTTACAATGTGATGTCGATGCGAGTCATCCACATGGCAGTCATGGAAGAATAAGCCCAACAATATGACCCACTTCTAGATCATGTATAATGGTCTTGAAAGGTCAAGTCAACAACATCCAATCGAAAGTTTCTCCAGTCATGTATGATTCGTTATCCGTCACCCTCCTGGATATAGAGCTTGATATGATGTTATCTCTTTTCAAGAAGCAATCAAGTCCATGGCCCTCATCAATGAATTCATGATTCTTTCCATTCCAATTCGCTTGTCTCAGCCAATAGTAAGCTTCGCATGAAAACACTTTACAGGCCACATGGCTATTTTCTTTTCAAACTGATGTCCTCGGCCGAGTGAAGATATATCATACGTCGACTATACTTGATTCATCTGTATACTTATGCGGCATCTAATGTTGGCTCACAATCTGTCCTGGCTTGTTTGTCATACACGGATATTGTATGGAGGGACAATCGATAAGGCGGGCTTACGACTGTAGCAGCCACGTTCAATGTTACACGGCTGCCTACAGAAACCAAGCATGATTATTGGCTACTTCCCACTTTCGAGGATGTGAGGGCTCCCGAAGCGAGCATGGGGTACGTCCTCTGTCAGCATCGCGGCCGATTCACTATGATCAGTGAGTCACAACAGTAGACCCTTTTTGGGAGACGAATATGATGTGATTATGCTAGAATAGGAAGGTCATTCGTTTAGTAAATGATTATACAAGCCCAGTCATCTCGAAAACATCCGAGTATAAAATGTGTAACTCTCATCACCTTGAAGTAAGATAATCCTACTCAGATTTCGGGTTTCCATCCGGCTACTGGTAGTTCACCTCGCTGTTTGCGACAAGACAATTTCCACCAAAGACAGTCAAAGCCCCTTGTTTCGTGCCCTGATTACTACCATGGAGGCAATGGAGGCAGCGTTTTCCGGCGCCTTCAAGACCAAACGCCTAGTCTTCCGCGCCATTGAGGAAACAGAGGCACACAAGGACTGGATCTTCAAGAATCTCTGGAACGACCCCGTCAACTTTGGTCTGGCCACTCCCTGTGTTTTCACCCCGCAGAGCCGAAAGGGCTTCAACAAGGATTTCGAAAGCATCATGAATAATACCCTGGTTGCCGTCTTCATCTGTCTCCCGGCACAAAAGGCCGGAGACCAAGGGGCCAAGCAATCCGATGAAGCCGACGAGAAAGGTGAAAAGACGGAAGACGAGGAAGACACCAAGATTGGCATGCTTGTTATGAACAAGTTTGCCAACCTTACGTTCCGAAGGCGCACGGGCATTGGTATCCAGATCATCGAGGAGCACCAGAACAAGGGCTACGGCCGAGAGGCCATCAATTGGGCAGTGGACTGGGCCTTTACCTTTGGGGATATGCATAGGGTCGATATTGGCACTGTATCCTATAACAAGAGGGCGGCGGCCTTGTACGAAAGTATTGGCTTCAAGCCGGAAGGAGTCAAGAGAGAGACGGTCTTTATGAACAGGCAGTGGTACGATTTAATTGACTTTGGCATGTTGGTACATGAATGGGAAAAGTTGAGAGGACTGGATGGGAGTGAACATGGAAGAACGGAACTGGCCAAGTGATATTGCTCAGTCGAGTAGATATCCTGTATATGTCAAGAGGAGAAAAGCAGTCATTGCCTCGGATGATTGGAAGAGTATTCAGTCTCCCGTTGTGACAGATCTGCCCACAGTGCTTTATCACGTCTCTCTTCAGTTCTTCAATCTCGATATCTTCAAGCATGCTTGGCAATACCTAAATTCAAGTTGTGGTATGCGAAGGAGTAAGGAAGGCACTCTTAAAAAATAGTATTTCTGTCTCCGGGGTATCATCATGCCAAAAACGCCTGTTCCTATGCAACCAGTATATCCTTTTCTTGTTTTGTAAAACAGTTTCTATGCCTTCTGATCCGCAGGGTTGCCTTCGAGCAAGGCGAGCTTTTTGTTCTTTTTCGCCTGCCGCTTACTCAAGGGAGCACCTGTCTGTTCTTGACCGTCAGGACCTTTCCGCTTCTGGCCACCATTCTTCTCTGCCTTCGGAGCAGCGGCCGCGGCGTGGTGCTCAACCCCCTCCATCTTACCGCCATTGTTGTCATTGGCCGTGTTCTTCTTTGGCTTGTCGGCGACCTGGACAATCTCCACAACGCCCCTGAAGCCGTTCCTCCGAATGCCCTCATTGACCACGACACCGCGAGGGTTGACACTTTGACCCTCGGCAGCCTTCTCGGTGGCTAGGCCCCAGACCGCCAGCAGATTGACCACGTCGGCGGGGGCCCGGACCTCCATGGCGCTGCGAGCCTCGCTGCTGATGACGATGCCTCGACCCCGAGTGGCGCGTACGAGCTGCATCACATTTCCAATAAAGGTGGCGCGGCCCCGGGCGTCGGCAGACAGGGCCTGGGCGTAGCAGATTTCGAAGCGCATGCCGCGGCGGACGGCGGCCATGACGGAGGTGGGCTTGAAGTGGTAGTTGAGAAACTGCGTCAGGTCGAGGGAGATGATGTGGGCATTGTCGATGTTCTGGCATGCAGCCTGGAAGCCCTTGTCTGTCGTTGGCCGGAGCGCCACAATGTCATAGGCATTGACGAGCCGGGGCACATGGTGACCAACGGAAGTGTCTGACACTGGTACGGTGCAACGAGTGAGCACGGTAGGGAGTCTATCGTCCTCGGGGAGACTCGAAGCAGATGCTTTCTTGTCGAACTTGGGGATTGGATTCGTGATCTGGCCCGGCACGGGGAGGCTGAGGGTGTGGTTGAGGGCGACGACATTGTAGCCAAGGTTGGCGCTGAACTTCAAGGTCCGCGTGAGCTCTGCGGCACTGGTCGAGGGTGACCATGCGAGATTCAGGTCGTAGAGCATCTTGGGCCCCTGCTGCGCATAGCGAGCGCTAGATGCCGAATATAGATACCACAATTACGGCGGTGTTCCTGTTGCGACGGCGCAATTTGTTGGCAGAAATGGTTGTGAGGAAACTATGAAGAGGCGCACGATCTAAAAATTTCCAGCTATGTTCCTAGGTTAGGTACGTACTGGGGGGGTACTGTACCGAAGCTGCCAAAGTATCGGAAACCCCACCCAGTCACTCAGCGCCTCCCCACGCTGCAAGGACTGATCACCATCAGTACCTACATATTCTAGTCGCTGCAACTTCTCCTGGCCAAGTTCAAATAAATCGAAGAGCGCATCATTAAAATTCTTATAAATTTTCTAAGAATTACCATTATTTCTGCAATGAGTATCCATCCTTCTCTGCCATGACCAAATGCTACCTATTTGGCCATTGAGAAGCAGCTCCATTCATGACCCAAAGTCTAAAAATATCTCCAGACGACAAGGTAAGGTATGCAGTTATTCTGATACCATGTAAGAGTAGTATTGCCTGACTGAAGTGGTAATATACAGAAATTAGTCATGGGTTACCAACTTAGTTGAGGAATTAGGTGCTGACTCGTGTAAATCTTCTCGATAACCGTTGAGGTCAGCCATGCTATATATATCGAGTATACCTAGGGCCCATATTGCTAACCTAGTGTTGATCAAGCCATGATCAGTCGCTTGACAGCATTGATCGATAGAGGCAAATCAGAGAAAACAAATTTGGAACTGCTCAAATAAGACATGTCCGATACTTGGGATGATAATGAAAGGGACAACCTTTGTCATTGTTGGTCAGCTAGTCTAGCCATGTATTCAGTATCGCAAAGAGTAGACCCCTTTTCAAAAACTTGATTTTCATCCACGAGTCTAGACCAGGAATATTCCTCTCAAATTTGCCGAACTCTTTCTTAAATCCTTCAACCAATTCCGCTCTTGGCTACGGGTACCAACAGGCGGCGCGCCTGATGTTCTTCAGTGGTGCCACTGGTAAACCGTAACTCCGAGCTTCTTTGGAGGATTCTTTAGCAACCCTAGATAGACAGAACAGACCCCTTGCATTCTTCCATTACACTACATGGCGATGCTCGTCGAGAGCATCTAGTGCTATTGATTGTGGGGGCACTACACTATATATAGTCAAAGATCGTGGGCAAGCGATGAAATCATTCCATTTCAGGTAAAGGCAAGCATGACTAGGCTTCGGCAGTTTGTCTGCTTCAAGTTGGCTTGATGCGAAAGTTTAAGAATAGGATGCGTGTGCAAGTGCAAGGGAGGCTGCAGTGATTGAATACCCGAGCACCGGCACTCAGCAGCAGTAGTCGACGTTGAAATGCCATTATACTCGAACAATCAGATCACCTCATACTCTTTCCCCCCCCTAAAGTCCGATGTTGTCTTACGAATCAGAACAACAACAGAAAGAGCCGACAGCAGCAGCCAGCGTCAACGCCTCCAAGATCGGAAGGCAGGGCTCGCGAAAAGTACGGACTGGCTGCAGCACTGTACGTACACAAGACCTGCGGTGTTTGTATTTTTTCTCCCCATGTTTGGCCTTTGAGAATCATGTTTCCCGGTCCCATATTTTTGTCTTGGGAAATACCCGTCTACGTGGTAGTCGTAGCTCGAGCGCTTGCTGGAAATTTTATACGATCAAGACAAGATTGAGAAGCTAACATATTTCGGCTCGCCAGTGCAAGTATGCCAATCATCAGCGCAATCCTATTGAGCAATTTTCCGATGACGGTTGGCTAACACGATACCGAAAGAGTGCGGAGGGTGAAATGCGACGAAGGTAAACCAGCTTGTCAACGATGCATCAGCACAGGCCGAACATGCCACGGATATCAGGGGTTTGGTGACGGCAAGACCATGTCGAGACGCGAGATCCTCTCGTACCAAGGCTCACTACTCGCCAAGTTGAGAGACTTGCCCGAATTTGAAAGCTCTGACGAAGGGAACCTCTTTGAATTCTTCTTTCACGTCACGGCTCCCAGCTTGGCCCTCGATCTCGACTCAGAGTTCTGGAGATCCATCATGCCTCAGTTCTGCCATACCGAGGAACCTTTACGACACGCAGCACTTGCGCTCGGCGGCTTTCACAAGGCCTTTCTCGATGGCCAAGGTCAACTATCCGACACCACTCCTTCCGCGCCCTTGGAGCAATACCTCAAAGCCATCAGATCGCTTCGAGGCAGATTGCAAACCGCAAGCAGCCACGACTTGACATCCATGTTGCTAACCACGTTGCTCTTCGTCTGCATAGAGTATATCCAGGGGAATGAGGTCAACGCATTGAGCTATCTTCAGCAAGGCCGTCAGCTGATGCAACACTGGACATGCGTGCGCCGTGCTGCTGAATACGACGTCGGACTACTGAGACAAACCATTGTGCCTCTGTACCAGCGATCCAGTTTCACAATGTGCATGTTTGGTGCCTGTCTTCTCCCAATTCCCGACGATATGGTTACATATCACAGCGTACCTGCTACATTCTCATCCTTGGACGAAGCGCGTCAGGTATTCTATTCTGTAAGCGACACCGTGTGGCACTTTATCTCCAACACGTCGCGCATTCGATATGGAGAGCTACCATCAGCTGAGGAATTTGCCCTCATGAATGACAGGCGTGAAGCTCTGCTACAAGATCTTTCCCAGTGGCATACTGCCTTCTCACTATTCATGGCGAGTGGGGACAGTCCAAAGACACTGAACCCTTCGGCACTCGTCATGCGGCTTCACTACCACGCCGCCATAATCTGGTTGAGCGCTTCCATGTCCGTTGGGGAAGCCTGCTACGATAGCTATGTTGACACCTTTAGCACAATACTTTGCCTCGGTCGAACATATTTGCGAACAATGAAGTGCTTCACTAATAGACCCGGCGGGTATGACTTGGCAAGAGAAGGCTTTCTCGGGGGAGCCTCTGACGACGCAGAGCCCCAGCATAAGCCAAGTCATTCATTCATTTTTGACACACATGTTATTCCAATCTTGTATTTCACGGCCGTCAAGTGTCGCCACCCTCTTCTACGGAAGACGGCTCTGGGATTGATGGAGGAATTGACGAGCACGAGGGAGAATCTGTGGCAAGGCAACATTGCTGTATGTGTCGCTAAACGTCTGATCGATATTGAGACGGCCTCTTCGGTGAGAATGCCTTCCTAGATTAAGAGTGGTCAGTGCTATGGGTAACAGCGTACTCAGAGCAACCCATTTCTGGATGTGGACCGTTCTTGCTGACAGTTCCAACCCAGGAGGATTATCGCAATGGGGCCAGGGGAGCATCGGTGTACGGGCAACGTGAGTCCGGCTCGAGTACGAGCCTGGGGCATGCCTCCTGTCTCGGCCACAACTTCTCAGATCTTCATAAGCGCAACCTAACGGCACAACCTTCGAGCCAATTCGAGCCTGAGGATGGGTTTCGTAGCGACGTCGTTGCTGATGGGCCATCGAGTGAAAACGTCATTGTTGATTCTGAAAGAAAGATTTCAGTTGACGGCATGATCGAGGAGCTGTTAGCCAATGGTCCCCGACTTTATGATGACAATGTTATGGCTTCTCGATTCGAAGAGACGAAGTTGGCTTCAAGAAGCCTAGCAACTGAGGACTGCCCGAAACCCGTAAGCGGCCCTGTACCGGCAGCATTCCTTAGACCGCCGTTTGGCGTCCCAGAGTATGTGCGAGTTACAGACGCAGTCCTTGAGCCATCCAAGAATACGTTGCGGAGGATAAAGATTGTTCGAAAGCTCCCCGGAAGAATAGACCAATGGGAAATTTGGGAGGAATGGATTGAGACAAGCATAAACAAAACGGTACAGCCGTAGTCAAGAAACAAATATATATCATCAGATCAGTCCACCAACTGGAGACATCGATTTGAATTGGTGTGGCCTTGACAAACACAAATGCGATGGTAAAGTGCGAGTATGGGATACTGAAGAGAGCAGTTGGAGGAATTTGCGAACTCGCATACTCATCATGCTAAGCTCCGTGACTTTGGACGAGACAACCCTATAGTCTATCGCTAGGTGCAGGACATGTCTGTGTAGTATTGAGAGAGTGCGAGGTCATGATGCGAGGCGTGGATCCTGAAAGGGATTCTGGCCTATCGGTAAGCCAGCACCAAGAGAACCTGGACTGCGCTAACTACAGGCAATCTCGGAAGGATGACCGCGCTCTCTGAGACTACCAAGTCTTTTAATAGAAAGCGGACCTCTAAGAGCAAAGTCCCTAGTTCATAATGACTTTTACCCCTGTGACAGCCCGGTCGCTTGACCAGCCTTAAAGATCAGCTTTAGAAGCCTCTGCAACGAGAGACGTGACTAGGTGATGAAATTGGCTATCATCATGTGTGATTTTCACGCTTATTGAAACAATCGGTTGAAGCTCCTACTATTTGTTCATTCAACATCATGCGTGCCTCGATGTAGACATCAAACATCACAGCTGATGCAGTCAAGCGACCTATTCGAATACAGGGACATGGAAGGGCAAGATGACCAGCCTGCAAACGAAGCCCGCGAGATGGGCGACGGGCAGGGGCATACTCTGCGATATGCCGGCGTGAACTGGCCCGCGCACATGGAAGCCATGGTACCCGAAGGCCTGCAGTACCAGTCGGTGGAAGATGTTGTTATGAAAATAAAAGGAATGAACATGAATGCCATACGTTTGACTTGGGCAACAGAAATGGTAGACCACTTTATTCAACATGGTCGCGATGCTGGGCTCGAGGAATCATTTGTCACGGCATTGGGTCCAGAGAATGGAACACGCACCTATCTGCAGGTCGTCGAGAGGAACCCGACACTTATAAATGCAACAAGATTCGAGGTATGTTAGACTTCTCCCATTACCCCGTCCAAGCAACATCATCTGAGTCGCCTAGGTTTTCGACGCTGTAGTATCAGCCTGCATGCAGCATGGAATATACGTCCACCTCGATAACCACGTGTCTAAGGCCAGCTGGTGTTGTTCGCCCA